TTATTTAAAAAATAGACTGAATTATTTTTAAAATTGATTAAAATTAATGATTATATTTACTATGAAATAAGGGTATTTCTTAAGCCATTAGCATCTTTTATAAATTTAATTTAATTAAATTAAGGCTAGAACTTGAAAATATGTTGAAAGAATGGCAATGATTTTTAGTATATTGAAGAATATGTTAATATAAGAGTTTCTTTATGATGACAATAGAAGAGAGTAATTAAGGAAATAGGGTAAAATTATTCTTAATAATAAAGGTACGCTACATTAATAAGGACTAAAATTTTTTTATAGAAGTAGATACTACACATTTTAATATTTAAATAATAATAAATAGTATCAATATTTCTAAAATAAATAAGATTTTGATTTTTTAAATGTACTCGGACCCAACTAACTCCGTTCGTTCACAAACCTAATAACTGGCAATCTCATGTGACTAGGGCTATCAAAACGGCTCGTTATTTGCGAAGAGCTCGTGTTTGATTTGTTCGTTGAGTTAACGAGTCGAACACGAATACTTTTTTCGTTCTTGATATATAAACGAGCTGAACACAACGGCTCATTTTGGCTCGAAATACTATTCATTAAATATGTATGTATGTGTATGTTGTGTGTGTGCGCGCGCGCGCTGCGTACTTAGATCAATTGGTCGGACATCTGCTTGTCAGTTGTAAGTCCCCTCTGGTCTGGGGTTCGGTTCCCCCCGAGCGTAGGGGGTGGTACTTGTTTGGCTTTTATCGCTAAGTTAACAAGCCGAACACGGACAAAGATTTGTTCGTTCATGTTCGGCTAGTTTTGGCTCGAAATACTTCTCATCAATTATATATATATATAAATTGATGAGTTGTATTTTTAAAAAATTTAATTGACTCAAGACTACAAAGATTTATAATCAATTAAATTTATTAATTAAAAAAATAGAATAAAAATATATTAAATTATATTTAAATGATGTTTTAATAAAAACAATAATATTTAAATCTTGCCCCAACTCTTAACATCCTACGGCTGCGTGATTAGGGTTGTCAACACGACTCTTTATTCTTGAATAGCTTGTGTTTAACTAGCTAAGCAAACAAGCCGAACACAAACACACATTTTGTGTTCAAAATATGAACAAACCGAACACAAACATTAATATTTTTTAACGAGCCAACACTAGCCTCGATTACACTCCTACACGTGACTAAATTTTAAGTAAAAAATTATGTCAATAAATCCATATGCAAATTATTTTACTAATATGAGTTTGAAAAGTGTTAAATTTATTTTGTGATTAATGCATAAAAAATTTTTTGTATACACAATATAAACTTCATAACAAATAAAAATAGTCTTTAATTTCATTCTAATATGTTTTTAATTATTAGAATATTTTTGACATTAAACTTACATTTATTCATCTTTCTCATACATTTCATTCTTGAAAGATGTGTTGAATCTAGATTTGTCTTGTGAGACATGGCTAACGATCAGAGAGGTAAAAACCATGTAAGAGAGATAGAGAGACAGAGAAGGAGAGAGTGCATACATGCTATGGCCCCATACTCTGTGACCTATTTTATATCTTGCAAATGACAGTTACAGGAGAGAATGAGAGAGTTCTCCCTATAGAAGATGGGTCTAGTGAGAAGAGTAAAAAGCCTTTAATACATGTTATGATCCCCTTATTTATAGGAGATAGGGGAAAAAATACAAAATTACATGCTTGTATGGACATTATATGTTATTATTATCTTTTTGGCACCTTTTTCATATTTATAATTGATTTTGACACATTTTTGTGTGTCCAAAACTTCTGATCAGCAGGTTATGGGTTGGCCAACTGAGTTGGTTTTTGTCTACTATTTTGCTGAACACTGGCCAACCTTCACTCTAGGACGCTGATCAGTTTTGAGTTAGGCAACCAATCGACTTTAGTGTTCGGCCAGCTTGCTTGATTGTTGTTCCTTGATCTCTAGAGATCTTTGTGATGGCTGTTGAGAGGGCCTTATGTTACTTGCTAGATTGTTGAAAGGATGTGGATTCATGAAAACTTGTAGTTTTTTGTTTGTGATCGGGATCATTAGATTGTCTCGAGGTTTGTGCAAACAATTTTTAGGAGTACAACATGGACCATCAATTAGGTGCATATATATATACATATGCATAGACATATATAGATACATACAAATACATTAATTGAACACTCAAATTGTATATGTATGTTGATATTCTTAATAGGGTCATAACTGGAATCATGAAGTAACAAATCAGTGATTAATATGCTTGGAGTCCTAATTATAACGTGAATATGTGGCCAATATTTGATTTAAATGACAAAAAAAATTCATCAAGTCCTACTCTGAAAGGAAAATAAGATTAATAATTATGATATCTGTGTTTAAAAAATACATGTTTTGACAATGAGATAGACTACCATGGCCTTAAGAAGAAGTGCAATTCAATATTTGGGCTCTATTGAGAGTAATGTATTTCTAGTCAACTATGACTGGTTTGATATCGTTTCCAATTGAAGGACAGAAACATGTAAGTCATACGATATCACCAAAGTTAAAATGAATCAAATATATTCCAAATTTGATCTATTTTATCTAACACACCAATAAATCAGAGATATTACCTTAGACACCAAAAAAAAAAAAAAGACAAAGTTGATCGAACAATAGTCATCAATACTAAATCTAGAGTGATTATTGTGGTACAAAGTATTGCCTATATTGTGCAACATAAGTAAGAAATATTAGATTTTTATATTTCACTTAAATTTATTGAGCAAGAGATTACCTTAGATGATGTTAATAATGATATAATTAAAAAAAAACTATTTCAATCTCTACTGACTCATCCAATGAAAAGGAATAAAATTGTTACATAATTTTAGTTTTAAGTTATTTATTCTCTTACTTCTTAGATTTTTAAATTCTTATTTCTTTCACCATCTATTATGATATTTCCTGTATTTAGTTTTGTTATTTTCTTACTTTTGTTTTAGTTTTTTCCTATTTTTAATTATGTTATTTCTTGAGCATCTTAAGAAGCAGATGGTGTGACACAACCTGTCCTCAAATTGTGGGAGAATGTCCTCAAATTGTGGGAGAATGGGTAAGTCCTTGTACATTAAAAGCTTGGTAGCACATATAAGTATGGGAGGAAAGTGATAATACACATTGAACACGATAAATTGAATTATATAATTAGCTATTTTCTAACATTTTTATACCTAAATAGAGGTGGGCGCTTGGACATGAGGTCGCTAAAGCTGAGTTGTGTGCCTACACAAATCAACATTGATCAATTGGATCAATGATGAGTCAATGAAGGATCTTACACATCACATAAATGGGATAATTTTATTTTAACTTCTATAGTTTATTTACAATCATGTTTCAATACCAAATACCCTTTTGCAATCTTCTATATAATGGGTATGTGTGCCTGAAGGATGCCTGGAGTCAAAGCCCAACAAGAGTTAGTAGCTCTAGTGGTTAGAAAGACCACTCATGCTTCTAGAATTGGAAAGAAGATGTTGGGGGAGGAAAAATGCAATAGTCTATGACCTTGGTGCATAAGATTTTGTTTATGAGGCATAATATTTTGTTTTAATCGAAGGTTGTAATTAGTTGATGATAAAGTTATCAAGCATGTGGCCCTAGTGACCAAGAAGTTACGAGCCAACATCTCTGTTGATCTATATGGAATGGAGTCCATGCTGAAGTCATTGTGGATGAGATGGTGAAAACTAGAGATGTTAGGATCAAGTGGCTCAATGAGTAGCTACAGCACCAAGTGCGTAGCCGTGGCAAGCGATCTTTGCAGAGGAGGAGGAGGAGGATGACAAATAGTTTTTAAATTTTTATGCGTGTATAATATTATTTGCACCATTTTATTTTTTCTGCGGCTACTGTTGAGTTGATAATTTGTTTAGATTTATTATGATGTTATTATGATTTCATTCATTGTCATTATCTTTATGTTCTTTTGCACTATTTTGAGATGTTATATCTATGGTTGTTATTTGTTTCATTTTGCAATTTCAATTGTGTAAAATTTGCATGACAAGGGCTCTGATTATGTTTTTTTTTTCTTTTTTTTGGTACAAGTTTTTTGCTGAATATCGATTGATTTTCAGCAAATATATTATTACTGATTGAAGGAAAAACAACATTATTAGCTTGGGATAACCAACCATTATTTCAGCTAGTATGTTTAATAGAATACATCAGCTGAAAAGTCAAATGATATTCAGTCGATACGAGTACCAATTAAAATTCAATCCTATTTTTGCTGCTAAAACTCAAAACTCTAAACCCTAAACAAACAATCTCTTGCCGTCTTTTCTTTATAAACACTTGCAAGATT